TTTGCCATTCCCCCTCCTTAGATCAAATCAGAAAAAAGTGGTCATGAAAATGCTGCCCATTGGGAAATGCTGTTTCAGTGACACTGCAGTTGTTTTACAAGAAGGTATGAGTTGCAGGCCAGTTTCATTTAAAACCTGGTTGGGGGAACTGCTTTGAAAATGCTGAAATGTCCCACTTTGACCTTCTCAAAGCAGAAAGCTTGGATTTCTCATTTGAAACCCATATTTTTTTATATAAATTCGATTACAAAAGAGAAAAGTCAAAATCAGAACAAAAAAATGTCAAATGTATTCAATGAACTGTTCTGATTTGCATTGATGCCTTCTCATCCCAATCCAGGGCCATGGGATTGCCCAATGTATTTGCCCAACGTATTTGCAAAGTTTTTTCTTGGGGTGCAGCATCTCTGTTCTGACCTGCTCTGCCATTCAATTTACACCAGGCCTCGAACTCCTTGCATATGAAAATATGACAGGATCCTTGCCACGCTATTATTATTTCTCATCTGCATTGCCATGGACAGGGTGCAAATTATGGGGGAACGTATAATGTATAACAAGAGACTAGAGACCGCCCCCCGTAAGATTTTAAAATCATAACGGGGGGGGGTCTCCGATTGAATTACTCCCTCACTTAGGTGGACTTGTTAATCAATGAACCGGTTTAATTTTTTTTTTTTTTTGCAGGAATCAAAGTGTAAATTAAACCCTGGTCATGGATTAAGACCCCATGCACATTGAACAACAGGCACAGGAAAGCACCCCTGGAAATGCACTGTGTCAGTCTTAGACATTCACAAGGATCCCCTACAAGAGAAGAGGAGCTCAGTTATATCTGAACTTTCACAGAAGCTGGCAGTGCCGTTCTTTCCCCGTGTCCCATGCCGCTGCCCTGGAGCTCTCAACGCCCTGGCAAAAAGGCCTGTGTTTCAGCCCCCGAAGCCCTTTTCAAAGTTACAAGGAAAAATGGTTTCAGTTTGGTCTTCCCCTTCCTCTGAGAACAAAGAAGAAAATCAGCTGAACTCCACAAAGGACAGGAGTCAGCAGCACAGCTCACCCAGGAGGGGATGGGAACTGCTCAGGAATGGCAAGTAGTGCCTGGGAGTGCAAGTGATGCCCCTGTCGCAGCTGAGCGTGCTGCAGCTCACCCATGCTCCGAGATGCTCAGAGGTGCAGATGTGCTGCTCTCCCAGCTGGGGAGGCTGCAGACTAGACACCCAGTCCCCAAGAGGCACCAAGTCCCCCCCACTCGCAACAATGTCAGCGAGGGGTAAGAGAGGCACTGAACACCTTGCAGGATTGGGCTTCCTCTGATGTCAGCACCATGCTTCTGGGATGTGACACCTCTTCCTTGCTACCAGCAGGGAAGGATCCTTATCTGGCCCTGCTCTAACTACCAGGACTCAGGTATAGTGCTGTCTTGGGGACTAATTGGGGCATATGAACAACAGCTCCACCATGGGATCAAGAGCGTTGGGCGCTGGATGCACTATGCTGCTGCTGCCCTGGAGAACCTGGGCTCACACGCTCAGCTCACAGCCCAGCAAAACATTTAGACCATCAAAAACATTCCCAAGGGGGTCCTCAGACGTGCTAGTCTCTGGAGAGGCCACATAACCCTCTGTTGCAAATGTGTGGGGATCCCCAGAGCACCTTGCAAAGGGCTATGAACCCAGGAATCCTGGTTACCTGCTCATCAGCTGATTGTACCGTGGACCTGTCTGTGCTCTGTGCTGGCCTCTGTGATGATGAGAATAGATGCAGAGATCCCGGTTTAATTAGGTTGTACATCTCAGCCGCTTAGACGAAAGGGCTTCTGCCTCTGCGCGCAGCCCCAGGCAGGCTGACTGCTCCAAGGAGGCTGGATTCTCTCCTTGAATCAGGAGTGTCACCACTGAAGTCAATCAAGGAGCATGGGAACAAAGCAAAAGGAGAGTTCAGCTGAGAGAGGATCTTTCACAAGCCACTGATCTTCATCTGGTTGTGCTCTAAGTGCCCTGGCATGATAACTGCAGGTTAGCCCTAAGTTAGAAGCCCAGCGAGTATGTTTAAATGCAAATAAGGACTCGCGTATATTCTGCATGGGATGTTCTGACTATGCCAGACCTGGTAGAGACTCGAGCAGAGAGGCAGCATCCTCCAGCAGGTAAGACACTGCACTGGGAGTCTGTTAGACCTGGCATTCATCCCGGACTCTGCCACTGACCTGCTGTGACCCTTGGCAAGTCACTTCTCCCTTCTCAAGCCTTATTTTCCCTTCCCTTCCCTTCCAGTCTTTGGGGCAGAGGCCGTCTTTTACTATGCATTGTACAGAATCTAATTCAACATGGCCTGACCCTGACCCTCTTTGGTGCTGCACAGACAAGGAGCAGTAACAGTATGGGAGCAATGAGTCTAGGGCTGTTCACTGAAGTCAGTGGAGCACTGCTGATTTATACCAGCTGATGCAGTAGAGGGTAATACTGGAGTAACTTCATGGGGTCACTCTGGATTTCCACCAGTGTAACTGAAAGCAGGATCTGTGCATCTCCCTTCATCCCCTGTGGAGCCTTTAATAAATCTCTCTCTATTCCTGACAGTCCAGGACAAACACACACATACACCTTCAGCCGCATGGCTTGGGTAAATGTGGGCTCTCATAGCAGCATCTCTTACACACATACAGCTTAAACTAACATCATCCATTATTGCTCAGCCTTTAATATTTAAAGAGGCCCTACAGGGCCTTAAATAAAGCAGTTCTGTCTCAGCAGAGGGTTTTCTGCAGAGTCAAAGTTCCCCTCCCTCCGGGGCCCTTAACGGGCGACGTCATTAAGGAATTGGCAGCGTCAGGGAAAAATTGTTCCCTGTGTCAGTGAATTTGTTATCAAGCCGGCTAGTGACTGATCTCCCTCTTGCTCCCTTCCTTCTGCTGTGTCCTCCCTCCCAGCCCCTTCTGCCGCTTCTCTCTCCCTCTCTCTCACCCTGAAGCAACGAAAAATAACAGGATGTCAAAGATTCTTCATCCTAAGGGAGGAAGAGGCCGTAGAAGCTGCCCAAAAAGAGAAGGAGCCCTTCCCCCCGCCCGCTGCTCCCCACTTCAACTGAAGCGACTGACAAGATCCTCTGGAAACGGGGATGCAGTCAGTGGATGGATACTAAGCTCGCCTTCCTCCAGCACCCAGGGGTTAAGGATGCCTCTTCTTGCCATCCCTGGCTTCCATGCGGTGGCGTGCTTGCCCTATCCTTGCTCCTCTCCCTCCAGCTGGATTTCACACGTGCCCCACACCAGGCTGGGATGCTCTCTGCTGCCTGAGCTGCTGCTCACCTAGTCAGGGGAGGAAGACCATGGAAGGGAGCGGAGACCTTTGGCTGGAGGCAGAAGGCAGCAATGGTTTTCTATGGAAAATAAACCCCCTGCCTCCCCTTCTCAGGCAGACTGCCAAGGCGCCCCCCCATACCCTGCGCAGATTCAAGGGAGTTAAAGCAAACTCCTGCTGTGCAACCACAGACAGCTCTTCCGGTCAGAGGTCAGGCCGTGCCTTCACTCACCCCAGGGTACATCCGAACCAGGTTTATGCCGGCGTCACCAGGATCAGGATGCAGCTCAGCATCTGCAAGGATAGGGTATCACCCAGGCTCACCCAGTGCTTCCCCTTTGTCTGCCACACAGAGGTGCACAGCTGGCTCCCACAGGCTGATGGAGGGGAGTCTGAGCGTCCACACATTGTGGGTTAGCCCGGGGGAGTCGAGCTTTCTCCTGAGCCCTGCAGTGCTGTCATTAAAAGGCAACTTGTGGCTCAGCCGGCTACCCCACACTCCAGAGACTGGCTCCGGTCTTCTCCTCTGCTCTACTTTCCTCAAAGCCAGCCTCTCCCACGGCCTGGCTCCACCTTGCTTGTTGAACCAGGGGTTCAAATCCCCCTCAGGGATCTGGGAGCTGATTTTCTCCCAGCTAGACAAAGCCTTGGCTGGGATGATCTAGCTGGGGTCTGGTCCTGCTTGGAGCAGGGAGTTGGACTAGATGTGACCTCCTGAGGCCCCTTCCAAGCCCTCATTTTCTACGAGTCTATGGCCTAGTTTCCCTTCCTGGGGTGAGCTGCGTCAGGGGTTGAAAGGGCTGTCCCCAGAGCTCCTGAAGTCTCTTTTGGGCTCCCTGTTGCTTTGCCTTCAACACCTGGTGTGAATGTAATGACAGCTTCACAGTCCCGGAGCAGGCAGCACTGCACCAGGCCTTAACCTGGCAGTGGTCCAAACACCTCCTCCATCCCTGCTGCCTACCCATGCACCTCCGTGGTGAGATAGGAGGGCCACCTGGGCAGGTCACTTAGGTGCTCTGCACCTCAGTCTTGGTCCCCACCGGTGAGGCTAGATTCACCCAAAAATACTCCAGAGTCGCATGTAGGGAGTGGAATAAGGGCTGGGTTGTTTGGAGGAGCCCAGCAGCCCCCCCCACCTCCCGCCCGCCGTAACACCAGGGAACCGAGCTCTGACGGGGCTCTATACGGCCCCTCAAATCTCTGCATTGCTTGGGACCAGGGGTTTGATTTGAAGCCCCCTCTCTGGGACAAGGGCCATCAATGAAAAATGTCTCCCAGTGCCAGACACCGTAGAGACTTGCTCCCAGACTGAGGCTCCCAGAAGCTACCGCACTACAAATAATAATGAATAATCCTAATTAATAACTCCCCTTTTCCTTCCTGTTCCTTTCCCTCCCAGTCTTGAGACACCCCTTGCCTCTGCCTCCAAAGGCATAAATGCATTTGCCTCTTTTGCTCTTTGAAGACAGGGAGAAGCAAAGAAATGGGAACACTGGGTCCTTTTCTAGTGGGTGATTGAAATCACAGTGTTCAAAGGAGGCCTTGTCAGCACAGCTTATCTCACCCTCTAGACTTCTGAGCATGAGATGTTATTGGCATTCAGACCCCCACCACTGCAAACATCTCTCACCAACTCTGAATGGGAACACGAGCTTTCTTTTCTTCACGCCTCTGTTGTAGATGAGCGGTCTTCAGCTCTTTGCCGTAAGGTTCATGCCGGAGGAATTCACAACTAGGAAGCCAGGCACTGGAGGAAGATAATAATACAGAGAGACTTCTAACAGAGTAAATAGGAGCCTTCAGGTACAGGGCGAGGGCGAGGGGTGTTCGGTGCTAGGGAGGACACAGCTTGGAGGAGGAATCAACTTAGCTGGGGAGCTTCCTCTGAACCAGAGAGCAGCTTGCATGGCGTTGCAGCAGCTTGAAGGCTTTAGAGCCTGGTCCAGAGCCTGTTCATGTCAAGAAAAGACTCTCATCAGCTTCAGTGGGCTTTGCAGCAGGCCTTAATGCAGCAGTTCCCAATTTTTGGAGCTAAGACTCCACTTACGGTCTCATGATGCCACTTCCAGTCTGAGCCCATCTGCTTTAGAGGACTACATTCACTAGGTTTTGTGATCCATCTTCTTTTCAGCTGCTGTGAGATCCCCAGAGGAAAAGGGCTATAAACAGCTGGGTGCTGTTAGCAAGTAGAACGGGATTGCTTGGGTTTGGATTCTTACTCTCCAAACCATTATTTTTCCTTCTACCCCTCAGCATTTTGAGTCACACTTGCTATGCACACGCACTGGGTCGCACCAGTTTGCAGCTTACACCCATCTGCTGATCAGGCACCAGCACCAGCAGTGTAACCTGTGTGATGTTTTAGGCCCTTGCTGAACATGATCCAATATCTTTCAGAGAACTAGCCACAGGTTTTGACCAGCTACCCATCTTGCTTGTGAACATGGCGCTCTTCTCCTCCATGGCCTTGGAGAAGAAATTCAATAGTACAGTTTCCCTTTGGTTGCGGGTGTTGGCAGGGGGAGGGAGGTGAAGTGAACTGACCAAGGTTACACAGGAGGTCAGTGGCAGAGCCAGGGGTGGACCCCAGGCATCCTGATTCACAGACTGATGTTCTTACCCACTAGCCCATACTGCTGCCTTTTTCAAAGCCCTTCATTTCCCACAGGTGGGATTAATGGGCTGCAATTGAACTCTTTACCTTGGCAACAAAGCGATGACTCAAATATTTGATCTGCCTCCTCTGACCCATCTCAGTCTGTCTCTCATCCCCTTCCACACATATCTCTCCCCCAACACACATTCCCTTCCTCCCTTGTCAGTCCAAACTTACCTTCCCACTCGCCCACGCGTCTCTCAGCCACACTAGGCAGCTGCCTGTCACCTGCACATCCCTCAGCACGCCAGGCACTGACAAGCTGTGAGCGTGATATGTCTGGAGAATCCAGGAGGGTGAGGACACAAAGCCCAGGGTGCAGCTACCAGGCGGAGGTCGCACTTCACTCAGGCACCACCATCAGCTGTGCAGAGACCGAGCTAAATGCAGCAGACTGACCTGGGGTGATGCGCACAGCTCTGGGGACATTCGGTGGAAGGAATTCCCCAAAGCAGTACGTTTGATCCTCTTCCAAACGTCAGCCCAGCAGGAGGGCGACTCCTTCTGAACTTGCAGCACATGGCGAGGTTGCGTCCTGCCCGTGATGCCTACACAAGGTGCGTGTCGCTCTGCGGGGAGACAGGGGAAGTGAATAAACTGTGTCCTGCCTTCAAAGACATCTTCAGGCACTAGCTTGGCCCTCCCCACCTCCTCTCCCAGGCACAGAACTAGTCTTCCCCACTTCTGAGATGGGGAAACTGAGGCACAGAGTGGGAAGGGGCCATGGCTAAAAATCACACACCCTTCCAGCGGGTAGAGCGATGACTACAATCCGAGTCCTGCCTCTCCCCCTCTTGCCATAACTGAGAGACGATCTTCACGCCCCTCTCTGATCTAGTGGAGAAGCCGTCACCCCAGCTGGCGTGGCTGGCTCCGGAGGGAAATGGAGAGAGGTTACACTGGCAGGCTTCAAGGGGTAAGAAGATGCTAGCAGGAGAGATCCCCTCCTACTTTGGGCCTGCTCATTCACTGGGGGTTAGCAGAGGTGGGGGTCTCAGGTCACAGTGAAGCAGGTGCCCTACGAAGACAAAGACCAGCCTGTCAGGGTGAGGTGGCCCCGGTGCTGGATTCGCGGCTGTGATTTCCTTCCGTGTGCTCACCCCTGTACAGCAGACACCATTTCCCCAGGCTGGGAAGGAAATTCAGTATACTCCTCCTTGCAAGCCCCTGTTATCAGTTTTTGCATCACTACCAGCAAAGAGATCAGAGAACAAGAGCACGTGGACTACGAACCATTGGTCTATACCCCTCTGGGGCCTGTCTTGCTACAGCCATCTGGGAGGGGAGAGGACTGACCCACCAGGTCACCTCCTTTTTACCATCTGCCCTTTATCTATTATAACCCTGCTCTGCTAGGAGGCAGGAGCTTGGGGTAGCACCACTACATCACGGCAGGACTTGGCTAGAAGAAAACAGCATCACTAAGATGTGTTGCACCAAGGCCTCTGGACTAGCCAGGGGCCACACAGGTGCCTGGGTGGGCCAGAGGGGACCATGTCTGGTGTCTGTGCCCTCCAAACACTGGCTCTGTCCTGAGCAAGTATGTTTGTCAGTGCAAAGGACAGATCATCTCCCAGCTCTGGCTGTGCTGAGGGCTGCCCTGCGAGCCAATCCTTGCCCATTGGCACTCTGCATCAATTGATGCCCATCTGCTTCACCCCAAAAGTCCTTCCTCTAGGAATTATTATTTCCTGGGGGAAAAGTTGGTGAGTTTGTGGCAAATCAAAGCAGCAGGGATGAAACCTGCTCACCCCACCATGAGGCAATGGAGTTTCCCAGCTGTTGTGCCAGGCCACTGCCAACTTGTCCTGCTCAGAGCGGAGGTGAATGGCCTGGTGCTGCGATTCCCCCATCTTCAGCCCAGCAACTATTGTCCGCACAGTGCTAGGGAAACGGCTGCACTGCCAGCCTTGGAGACCAAAGGCCTCAGAACCATCCTGCTCTGCAGCCCCCTTCAATCCCATGTGGGACAAGAGCTGCCACTTCCCATGGTCCATTCAGCTCCGGGCCTCTTTGCTCAGGTGCAAGCAAAGGGGGCTGGCTAGTGCCTGAGGACATGCTAGGTTCTGCAATAGGGACACCTGGCAGCTGGGAATGAGCCATGGCCCAGAAAGCTCATCTTCCTGCAGACAAGGTTTTCATAGATTTCATAGACATTAGGGCTGGGAGAGATCTCGGAAGATCATCGAGTCCAGCCCCCTGCCCCAGGGGCAGGAAGTCAGCTGGGGTCAAAGGATCCCAACAAGATAAGCGTCCAAACATTTCTTTGCATGGAAGTAATCGCTCTTATTAGACCAATGAAATAGTTGGAAATTTTTTCATTGCAAGCTTTTGGGCACAAACGCCCTTCTTTAGGCATAGGGAGAGTCTGTGGGTGCTTGTGTGCCATGTTCCTGCAGCCAC